TATTGATCCAGTGTTACTACAGAAGGAAACCTAAACTAAACTAACTTTATTTATACCGGATAGTTCTATCAGTTCTAAACTGTTCTCCCTAGAGGTCCAGTAAGGATCATCTCTTATTGATCCAGTGTTACTACAGAAGGAAACCTAAACTAAAGTAACTTTATTTATACTGGATAGTTCTATCAGTTCTAAACTGTTCTTCCTGGAGGTCCAGTAAGGATCATTTCTTATTGATCCAGTGTTACTACAGAAGGAAACCCAAACTAAAGTAACTTTATTTATACTGGATAGCTCTATCAGTTCTAAACTGTTCTTCCTAGAGGTCCAGTAAGGATCATGTCTTATTGATCCAGTGTTACTACAGAAGGAAACCTAAACTAAAGTAACTTTATTTATACTGGATAGTTCTATCAGTTCTAAACTGTTCTTCCTGGAGGTCCAGTAAGGATCATTTCTTATTGATCCAGTGTTACTACAGAAGGAAACCCAAACTAAAGTAACTTTATTTATACTGGATAGCTCTATCAGTTCTAAACTGTTCTCCCTAGAGGTCCAGTAAGGATCATCTCTTATTGATCCAGTGTTACTACAGAAGGAAACCTAAACTAAAGTAACTTTATTTATACTGGATAGTTCTATCAGTTCTAAACTGTTCTTCCTGGAGGTCCAGTAAGGATCATTTCTTATTGATCCAGTGTTACTACAGAAGGAAACCCAAACTAAAGTAACTTTATTTATACTGGATAGCTCTATCAGTTCAAAACTGTTCTTCCTAGAGGTCCAGTAAGGATCATCTCTTATTTATCCAGTGTTACTACAGAAGGAAACCTAAACTAAACTAACTTTATTTATACTGGATAGCTCTATCAGTTCTAAACTGTTCTTCCTAGAGATCCAGTAAGGATCATCTCTCATTGATCCTGAAGGGAAATTATAATCAGACACTGCAAATTACAAGAATCACACCTCAGGTTAGAGACCAAACAGTGAGCACACTTACAGACTCATCAATTAAATCAACACTAAACAAGCGTCCTTCCCCGCGCGAGTTTGACCACTCTCTGATGTTGGATTTTGATGTTACACGTGCACAAATTGTCCATCTACACGAGTAGGAAAACATTATTTACAGGATCGTTCATATACTCAAGAAATAGACCTTGGGGAGGAGCTAAGATTGTGGGGCATGCAGTTAAGTTTCGTAGTGAAGCAGATGGTGGTTGTTACGCCCTCTCAGTTGTTTATCTTGGGTTGCTATGCATGTTAGTCGCCCGCTTTTAGGAACTTAAGATTCGCCAAGTGGCATGCTTACAGTCGGCACACAAGTCGTAAGTATTGCTATATTTTGCTGTATATTTCGAATCTTCCTTTTGTAATTTTAGCTTATTTTGTTTATATTGTAGTTTGACGGTTCGTAGAAGATAAATATAGTACACTTTTAAAGTCCTGTCGTCACAGTTGTTGTGTATCTATAACTATAAGATAGCTTGATCGGTTATCGGCCATAAATCCATACGAGCCGTAAGACCTGTGTCGTATTTACACTTCCAAGACGGTAGATACAGTGGTCAACCAGCAGTTATCAGAGTGAGAAAATAATGTGAATTCTTTTCATTGGAGAATAACCAATCTAGGCAGCTAATGAAAAGAATACCGTTCCCAAGATACAGGTCAGGGAATGAAAGATAACTACTGTAGTCAAGGGAAAAACAATCAAGCAAAAATGTATTGGGACATTCAGACAAATAGTTTCTGGTAAAATTTTCATGCAAAGATTGCACTCTCACTTTCATCACTGACCTGTTATGGTAAGGATTAAGACTGCTAATAGGAAAGACAGCAGGCCCATTTTGATTTCGTGATACAGGAGCTTGGTTACTGGAAAATTAAAGAAAGATTTTACAGAAATATACTTCACAATGTTTACTGATGGACTGGAAGAGAAATCAAGGCCGGCGAGAGCCAACCACAGGCCCCGGGACAAAATGACAATTGGTGAACACGGGACCCCTGTCCCTCTCGACTCTTCCGCTGGCTATTTTTAATCACAATCAACGAGAGAATTGCTAGCGAATTACTTGCAAGAAATCGCCGCATAACTGATAAAAACACAATGTGAACAAAATTGATCAGCTAACTGTTTTTGCTGAGAAAATGATCGAAGAATCGTTTATTTCACATTTGGTACGTTTTACGATCGATGACGACGATCAGCGGATAGTGTGCAAGTAGGCGTATTTCACTATTTAGGACAAACATAAAGCAAGGATATAAACAATACGAACATTTTACAGAGATTTCTGGGCCCCTCTGATCACTCCAGGCCCCTCTGATCACTCCAGGCCCCGTGTACATTTTGCCCCCCCCCCCTGCCCCCCCCTCTTGCCGGCCTTGAGAGAAATACAAAATACTGATGGTGACTATTTTTTACCTGCCAAATCTGGAACCACTGGACGAGGACTGGTTTCTGTTCGCATTCCCTAAACAACAAACACCACACAATTTTTACTGCACTCACGTTGATCCAGTGTTACTACTGTTAGTACTGTACACAATGTAAAAGTGGCTGTATCTGAAGAAAACCAGCGCTGTTTAGTAGAATCAAAATGAAAGCACTCTTCTCACATGAAACAGAGGTGACACTATAATGAGACAACGTACTGCACACTTGAAGGAATAATACCAGAGCGCTTTAAAATCAACTTATAACTCTGAAGATCGATGCACGGACATGGAAGCCAGTTTGTGTTCAGTGTAGCTCTTCCCGTAGTCTTCTGTCTCTTCCTATATGCTGTTTTTAATACCGTATCTGTATGTCTTAATGTTGTTAATGTCCGTATATGTTTTAATGTATGTTTTGTTGGTAATTGTAATCGTTAATATTGTTACTTGATATTAAAATTCATGTATTACAATGGATCCGGAGTAAATGGCCGTAGCTGTTGCGGTTTCCAAGCCTGTTGAGTGTTGAGCCAAAGTATAATAAATAAATATTGCAGGAATCAAACTTCGGTCACAGAGATGAAAGACATATGTACTGACCACTGTATCATCAACATCACTAAACAATATTTAGTTCTCAAATACCTGTGTTATTACTAAATCTGTTTTGCTGTGCACCACCTACAGTACGTAGATATCACAAGTTACAGAAAGTTGTAAATTTTCCAAGCTTGGGTACATAATCCCAGTGCAGGGGATTTTAGATACCTCGTCCTCAGGCTCTTTCCAAAATTCCCCACAAATGGTTTGACAAATCTGCTCATTCTTTGCTAACATACCATTCATTGGTTGTTAGCTATGTACATACACATACAATATACCCTTCATATACTTAATCTGTAGTGTTTTGTAGCACAATACAGAAACACTACAGCAAAAATTGAATCCTAAACCTTGCCAGGTATACAGGGGGAGGTGAATTTTATATAATTTTAAGGTGAACATTTTCTAGAAGACTTAAAGTTTCTGGGGTATGTACATTTTATAGAAGAGCAGACTTTCACAGGGGGTGGGGCAAATTTTCCTGGACTGGGGGAAGTTAGAATTTTATTTAGGGGGAGGAAGTATTTGTGTGGGATAAAAGAGTGCCATAAAATTTAGAAATAAAATCTTCAATGAAACTAACCAGAACTTTGTTGGACGCTTGGCCTATTGTTCTGAATGGCGGCATTACTGCCTTTTCCTTCCGTTTTCTCATCGAATTGTACTGGATCACCGTATCGAACACATTCTGAGCCTTTCTTTAAAACAGTCACCTCCAGAAGGATTAACACTTTTCTAGGAATCAAGCATATTATGATGCTCAGTCAGAAATGTTCATACGAAAGCTTGAAATAACAGTCGATCACCAATCAAAGATTGGCTGCTTATGATCAGCAGAAAAGCAGGGTTTCCAACCTGAATAGGCAGGAAAATTCACGATTGCCGATCACCATGATTCAGACCTTTGGGAACGTTATTTTAAGCCCTGTTTATGCTCACATTAACAGACCTTTTCCCTTATGAGTGCAATTTTGATCTAGACAAGTCTAGACAAAAATTTCATCACAGCTTGAAAGAGCATCACAAAATTAGTAATATTCCGAAGTTTCATTGCAAAATGTTGTAAAATGCGGATAATATAGCCCTGCGAAGTTTGCCGTTTTTCAGTCATTTTGTATTACAAATGGGAAATTGATAATCAGTTTGATCATCTGATTATCGGCATATTACTAATTTTGTATTATATAATTTTGTGATGCTCTTTCAAGCTGTGATGAAATTTTTGTCCAGATCTAGATCAAAATTTCACTAGATCAAAATTTCACTCAAAAGGGGAAAGGTCTATTAACACATCCAACACTCAAGACAGACACTTAAAATCTTACCGTGTCTCCTGGATAATGTTGCAAATATATTTATCCAATCTAATAATGGCTTTTGCATCAAGCTCATCATTACTGACCATATAATTGAGCTGGGTGGCCAACATAGCACCTAGGTATTGATGTAAATTCACGACTCACTTACTAACCAATGGGTCATTTCATACAAGGCCTCCCACAAAGGAAATTTCTGCCGTCTCAGGGCGCGAAATAACGGCCGGTCAACGGACAATGTCCGGCCAGAATGCGGAGTTGTCCGGTCATATTCTTACCTTGCCGGTCATTTTGACCTGTCACTTTCAGTAAAAGAACAAACTAATCTTCATTTTATATAATAATAATCAAAATAAAGTGGTCAAGTACAGTATTATAATTAAGAACCATAACATGCATGTTGTCGAATATTTTGCAGGAAAACAACTTCAATGTACACCAGTTTTCGCACACAGTACGTCACAAAGCCCATGGGCCATGCTTTTGGCTTAAGAGTTAAGGCCAAGCTTTTAACCCTGTACGAGCTGATTTATGTAAAGGAATTTTTAATTACTGATTACAGTAAGGCTTTTTGTAATGCTATACTGGGAAAATGGTCACATTTTTAGGGGTATACTTTACTAGGCTTTGCTTTAAGCTGAATAATTTGACCGGCCAGAAATTCGGTATGTCCGAGCTAAAATTGAGTTGGCCAGTCACCTTGACCGCCGACCCTCCAGCCATTATTTCGCGTCCTGCGTCTGGTGTGGTAGGGTAGGGGAGAAACATTTGTTTCCGATAAAAGTGTATTAGGACATCCGATGGGGGTAGGGCGTTTAACTTCTAATTTCTTCTGTGGGGGAGGTATGGGTGTTTTGTGGAATAGCCCAATGGATAGACAAGATTTTTGTGATGTTAAATCAAACAAAAAAAACTTAATAAGTTCTTTGTACAATTGCATGGCGATAAAATATATAATAGTTTTGTTGTGGAAATAAATAATAAATAAATAATAAATTTATGTGGTGTTTCCACAAACAAAACTATTTTATAAAAAAAACTTAATTTTGAAACAAAGCAAGCACTTTTGAACTGTTCTAAAGATAAGCACCCGTGGAGAACAGCAAACCCCAGACCAGCTGATTAGGGAAATTCAATCTTCTCAGCAAAAACAAACCAGCAAAAAAAACTCAAAAAAGTCTGAAAACCAACAGAGCAGCCAGGCGACAGACTGAATGAACAAGTACTTAACTGGCTGACTGACACAAACATACTGATTTGATATAAAATGTATTTACATACATGTGTGAGCATGGACGCTGTCTGAAAGAACCATTCTAAAAATATCAAACAGAAACACTCATGAACACAGCAACTTTACAAATTGAAAAATGCAAGCCACATAAATTTAATGAAAATTATGCATACTCTATCAGTTTCAACATTTACCTATATCTCTCATTTGGACCATTTCCCTGACTGGCTGTAACTTTCTTTAGACCCTAGTACAACATAAAGCGTATTGCAAATTTATGTTCAACAAGTGTTCATGAAACCAGAAGTGTGATAAAATCAGGAATTGGGGAAGGGGGTAATAGGTCTGTTGAAAGAACAATAAAAATAATTGTGTTGGACAAATTTCCATTGGGTCGTTCCAGAAAAGATCCATACTCCCCCCACGGAGGAAATTTCTGCTGTCCGGAAGGGGAGGGGAGAAAAAATTGTTTCTGATAATAGTAAATGTATTAGGACATCCGGAGGGGGGGTAACTTTCTATTTCCTCCGTGGGGGTGGTATGGATGTTTTCTGGAATGACCAATTACACATTGGCAGGGACGCCGGAACTGGGGGGGCAGGGGGGGCGGCTGCCCCCCCTGCCTTTTGCTAGGGGGGCAGGGGGGGCAGAAGTGCCCTTTTAGTTTTAAAAAATTACGTGATAAATCACATTTAGAACGATGGTTTTTGTCCGAAAATTATGAGATTCAGACATTTACAGTTTATATTTCACTTATGGTATGTCCGGAAAAAATTTTTGACCCCTAA